CAGTTTTATTCTGTAACTTAAAATTTTAATAACAATTTAACAGTTAAGAGACGAATAAATCAAACACTAGTATATTATATTGCTGTCATGTTTAAAATTTGAAATCGATAATAAAAACAATTTGAAAAGTATTTAAACATGAGTCATTAAACTACAAGTCTCTTAAAACTTATAGTTCTAGTCTTGGTCTACTAATCTGTAGACTAATTTATTTTCCTCCGGTATTGAGTGAGTTGTAATATAAGTTGTGTTCTCCCAAGAACAAAATACTTTCTTGTTTCTAATTTGATATCTGGTGTAGTACGATTAAAAAAGTTACTACGTTATAATTTAAGTGATAATAATAATAATAATAATAATAATAATAACAGTAATAATGATACGTAAGTTGTGACGCCCGAGTGACATCGCGCGGACACTACCAGCCGTACTTGCGACTCATTAAAGAATAGTCAGATGAGTATCTAATACTACTATGAGCTTTGCTGTGGCTTTACTATCTGCACCCCTCACCCCCCCTCCCCTTCTCATCGACTCCCCGATCATGGGTGTTCTTGTCAATTTTTACCAAGTTTTATAAGATTTTNTAAGTATGGTATTGTGGCTGCCGGTATTCTGCAGGGCTGTCTTCCCTGGCTTGCATTTGAAGTAAAAAATTCTCTGACAGTACCAGGTCAAATGGTTGAACGGCCACAAAACGGCTAAAGAGTTGGAGCAGGTTGTGCTCTGGTTATACGCATCTCCTGGTGTTCTACGCCCATTTTTTCGTGGCAGTCGGTTATTTTGGCAATCCGGGGTTAAACCCGATTTATTTCGCTTGCCCATAACAGAAGAGTGTCATCGGTAGCCAGAATAACCCAGCTGCACGACTGCAGTTTATGATGTCGTGCCGATGATCGACCACGATAATCGTTGACTCGATGGGGCATCTTATAACCATTCTTTACTATCTTTGATTGCGGGTGGCTTCAATTTTGCCTCGCCATCTAGCGGATCCTACTGAACTAAAGCGCAAAGCTAGCTTATTTTAGCAAAACTTTGACCTTATTTATTGCTATTGTTATTAATTTGTTCAAGAAAAAAACTATGCGAAAACAATCTTTGAATCATCAAGAATCAGTATGCAAAATTTCAGCAAAATCGGTTCTGTAGTTTTCGCAGTTGGCGATTACAACGGTTTTAGCAACTTTGCTTTATATATTAGTAATATTGGTAATATTTGAAGCGTGTTTATATAAAAGTGTTGCCATCTATTTATATGCACGTACTAACCAATCACTAATACGATGATAAATGTATCAATGTTGCTTGTATATACCTATTAGAACCATATTCAATTTCTAAATTATCTACAAGCACTAGAGTCATATACCTATGAATCCTATAAACTTATAGTCATTGCTTAATTAAATTAAATAATGCTTGAGTATTTTTCTGCCAGTACTTTAAAAGGTTTCAATGAATTTATGTGGTACTTATCGGTTTTTGTAGTGACTTTGACGTTTATATAAATAACATATATTTATTAAGCTAAAGCAAGGATTTTTCCTGAGATTCCCTAACCTGAAGTAAATATTTAATAATTCGAATGTATATTTCATTTTTAGAAAAATTTACGCAGTTTTTAAAAAGTTCATTTCTTTATGTATGACATTTCCAGTTTCACTATATTTCGAATTCAAAAAGTAATTAAAGTTTCACTGATTAATCTACAACCAACACTAATTATTATACTATTAACATACCTCACTCGTCGCTTATCTTATCTAAAAGAGCGAACAAAGAACATACAGAATATAGTCTTATGCAGACAACGAGCTCGTACACTCTAGGATATTATTGGCTTTCTGTCGTTGAACAGTTACTTAAGAACAGTACCTATTATTCATTGACGCATACAAGAAAAATTTGATCGTGTCAAGTGTCCTCTAAAATAGTTAATATCTTAAACTTTCTAATTTTTTGGGACACAAAATAACATCATCTATCGTTTATTAAACATCAAAAGTATTTGTGATACTTGAGACAAAGTTTAATTTTACAAGTGCTTAGATAACGCAGCAATACTATTGGAAATTTAGACACAGAAAGGTGAGTTTTTCTTCTGAAAATAACATTTTTTGATTCAGAATTTTTGTACGGGATTTGGATGTGCTAACTTTTTTAAGGTTGCGTGACATCCAAAGATAAAATAAAATAATTAGATCAAATGCATAAACATTTAAAGCAGATAGTCAAGTATAATGAAGTATTACAACATATTACGTAAGGGGAATAGTATTGGGATTTTTTGTATCACATTCGCTCTGCGCAGTACTTTAAAACAGCGCAACCAACGTGAAAAATTGTCCACACTAACTCACTAAACGCATTTACTACTTATGGAAAATTTTTTTTTGAGCTTGGAGCAGTGAAAAAATTATTGTTGGCTCGAAACATGTTAACAACACTAAAAAAACTCAACTTACTTACAAGAGATCCGTTTATGCCTTATAAAAAATGTGTGAGGCATCATGGCTCATAAGGAGCTATGTTATTCTTGTGAGTAAGTTTTGCCATTTTTATTTTTGTAAGTGACGCTGTTTCAGATTGCTGCACAGAGCGAATATTGGATATCAGTATATCCGTATTTGTACTGTATTAGATACAACGTGTATTGCGTGTATCCTCATTTTATGATTTTTATATGTATGCTCAATCCCCAAGGACTGCAATTATATCTATTTTTCCCTCCCTTTCCAAATATGAGAGTGAGTTTTTTTCGTATATTTAGGCCCTGGGCGAAAAATGTTTTCTCCCAACGAATTAGTTGCCTCTTCTATACCGTATACTATTTGCAGGGTATTAATTTCCCCTATGACTGCAAAAAACGTCCTGATAATTAAGACCCTCCTGCAGGTGCCGACATCAGTTAGATAAAATCACTCCTATTCTAACTCAATTGGTTAGTAAGGTTTTCGAAATCGCAAGTTTTTCTTCATCGTAAAAACTCGAAAAGAGATCTTCGAAAATTTTTCCATCTGATTGATAGATTATCAAGTAAGTAGATAAATGATTCGACCTTTAGTTGATTCGTTCATTTTATTTTTTCTTAAAAACTGAGCTCTTTGAAAATTTAAATAGATCCTGACTTAGTAAACAAGCAATAACGAAAAACTTTTGATGTGTATCGTTTTGTAAAAACACGTAATTGCCTTGTCAATTGAAACGGCAACACAGCGATTTGGTTTTAAAAACTTGGTTTTTGCATAATATTTTATGTAAAAAATCATCTTCTACTATATCCTTTACGGGCCAGACATGGGCAGTGTCTAGCAGCCGGATGTCCGTCTGTCATACACGGGCAGTACAGTCACCTGATCACACCTATTCACTTCGTGCAGCAATTTGAAACAACGCCACCTGCAGGGGAAGAGACGTCGATGCTAACTAACAAGAATACACAGCATCTGTTAGAAAATAATAGATAACAAGTGTTTATTTCAACAATAAAAATATTTAACAACTTAAATAAAGTTTTTCAGTCCCAAGTAGCATGTTAATAACAAATGATACTTTTTTTTTTAATTTCACAAAAAAACAGTAAATTTCTAGTAAAAACTGTATATAACGTATGAGTGAGCATAATAAATATAACTTTTTAATGTGCTGATTTAAAATTACTTTACAAAATAAACTGATCTTCGAGAAAAATTGGAATACTTATTCACGAAATACAACTATGAAAGAAGAAAAATATTCTACACCCAAAAAAGTTACGACAGTTAAATATATATGACTGATGAAATAAATGCTTGTAACAGATCATTGTCCGTAAGATTCTGTGTATTCTTGTTAGTTACCATCGAAAACTTTCCCCTGCAGGTGGCGTTGTTTCAAATTGCTGCACGTATCGAATATGATATGGGTCATGTATGCTAGTGGTATATGGGCCGGGTAGTACCGTCTAGTATCCAAAATTTTATTCTATTCGATAAGTTATCCGGTTGTCTTCTGATAGTAACGGTCCCAGCCTTATGGAGGGCATTACTCCCATATCGAAAAAAAGCTGCAGACGCAGAAACGGCCGATTTGGGCTTCTATGCAAAAGTATATTGTATATATTTTCTGGTGCACATGGAGAGTTAAAATTTTATTTGATGCATCATAATCTTGATTTTACAACGATTTACTAAGAGTCCATAATGCTTCTTATAACATTACACTTGCAAATTTTCTTCCAGATCATCGTAAAATATAAAATTTTCTCCATTCACAAAATATACAGAATAAAATATTAGAAAAACAACACAAAGACAGTTCTGAAAAGATTCTTATCTCAGGGTCTAGACAACTATTTCTTCATAAGTTATTAGTAAAAAGCCAGTAAATGTCAGTTAATATTCTCTTTATGCCTTATCATTTGAGCGAGGCATAAACCAAGTTTTAAAATAATATGACTAGGATATCCAATCTGTACACCAAGGCATGCCTAAGAGGTTTTTCAACGATTTCTTTAATTGTTATACTGAATTTTTTATTATTCCTCTTGTTAAAATGCGCTGGTGTAAATGAGTAAGAAGTTGATGGACTAAGAATTATTGACTTCAGCACCGTTTTAAAACAGTGCTTTCAAGCAAGCAACCGAAGACCGATTGGAATGTGTGAAAAAGAAAACACTACACACTACCATATCAATTTTATATACATGCAGAAGTCAACACCAAAGGCCTCATGAGGCATGCACAGCAAACTTCTCAAGTTGCTTGTTTGAGTGCGATGGTCCAAGATTGCGTTTGAGATACTGTAAAATTGTACAACAATAAAAACAAATATTTAAAAATTTTTCCCTTTTTTGTTCACAGAAAAATTACTTCACTGACGAATTGGCTCACAATCTTTGCATTACCCAATCCTTTGTAACAATTAGGAACAAAAAACGATGAAAACCAAGCTGCCAATAAATTCACAGGATCTTATTTGGTCATCCACTCCATTTGTAGGGTGTATAATTTGTAAACATGTTCAAAAGTGATGAGAAACAAATATCAAGTAGCAAAGACAAAACTGGTAACAGTTGTAATGTGTGCGATGTAAACACGAAAACTTTTTCCTCGCCTCAGTATTTAACTGGAAAAAAACTTGTTCCCATGGGTGAGAAGCCACTGAAGTGTTAATTTGTCAGAAGATGTTTAGTGCAAAAAGTGACTTAACAGATCACATGAGAACCCACACGGGTGAGAAGCTATTACAGTGTTCGATTTGTCGGAAAACATTTAGTGCAAAAAGTTCTTTAATAAAGCATATCAGGCTCCACACAGGTGGAAAGCCATTTGAGTGTTTGACTTGTCAGAGAAAATTTGCACAAAGAAGTCATTTAACGTATCACGTAAAGACCCACACAAGTGAAAAGCCATTTGAGTGTTCGATTTGTCAGGAAAAATTTGTACAAAAAAGTCATTTAATAAATCATATCAGAATCCACTCGGGCGGGAAGCCATTTGAATGTTCGATATGCCAAAAAAAGTTTACTCGGAAAATTCATGTAACAAGGCATATTAGAACTCACACAGGTGAGAAGCCATTTGAGTGTTCGGTTTGTCAGAAAACATTTATACAAAAAAATGATTTAGTGATCCACATCAGGACCCATACAGGCAAGAAGCCATTTGAGTGTTCGATTTGTCAGAAAACATTTGTACAAAAAAGTCATTTAATAAATCATATCAGAATCCACTCGGGCGAGAAGCCATTTGAGTGTTCGACTTGTCAGAGAAAATTTGCACAAAGAAGTCATTTAACGTATCACGTAAAGACCCACACAGGTGAAAAGCCATTTGAGTGTTCGATTTGTCAGAAAACATTTGTACAAAAAAGTCATTTAATAAATCATATCAGAATCCACTCGGGCGAGAAGCCATTTGAGTGTTCGACTTGTCAGAGAAAATTTGCACAAAGAAGTCAGTTAACGTATCACGTAAAGACCCACACAGGTGAAAAGCCATTTGAGTGTTCGGTTTGTCAGAAAACATTTATACGAAAAAATGATTTAGTGATCCACATCAGGACCCATACAGGCGAGAAGCCATTTGAGTGTTCGACTTGTCATAGAACATTTGCACAAAGAAGTCATTTAACGTATCACGTAAAGACCCACACAGGTGAAAAGGGATTTGAGTGTTCGATTTGTCAGAAAACATTTGTAGAAAAAGGTAATTTAATAAATCACATCAGAATCCACTCGGTTGAGAAGCCATTTGAATGTTCGATATGCCAAAAAAAGTTTACTCAGAAAATTCATGTAACAAGGCACATCAGGACCCACACAGGTGAGAAGGCATTTGAGTGTTCGATTTCTCGGAAAACATTTAGTGCAAAAAGTTCTTTAATAAATCATATCAGAATCCACTCGGATGAAAAGCCGTTTAAGTGTTCGACTTGTCAGAGAACATTCGCACAAAGAAGTCATTTAACGTATCACGTAAAGACCCACACAGGTGAAAAGCCATTTGAGTGTTCGATTTGTCAGAAAACATTTGTACAAAAAAGTCATTTAATAAATCATATCAGAATCCACTCGGGCGAGAAGCCATTTGAGTGTTCGACTTGTCAGAGAAAATTTGCACAAAGAAGTCAGTTAACGTATCACGTAAAGACCCACACAGGTGAAAAGCCATTTGAGTGTTCGATTTGTCAGAAAACATTTGTACAAAAAAGTCATTTAATAAATCATATCAGAATCCACTCGGGCGAGAAGCCATTTGAGTGTTCGACTTGTCAGAGAAAATTTGCACAAAGAAGTCAGTTAACGTATCACGTAAAGACCCACACAGGTGAAAAGCCATTTGAGTGTTCGGTTTGTCAGAAAACATTTATACGAAAAAATGATTTAGTGATCCACATCAGGACCCATACAGGCGAGAAGCCATTTGAATGTTCGATATGCCAAAAAAAGTTTACTCAGAAAATTCATGTAACAAGGCACATCAGGACCCACACAGGTGAGAAGGCATTTGAGTGTTCGATTTCTCGGAAAACATTTAGTGCAAAAAGTTCTTTAATAAATCATATCAGAATCCACTCGGATGAAAAGCCGTTTAAGTGTTCGACTTGTCAGAGAACATTCGCACAAAGAAGTCATTTAACGTATCACGTAAAGACCCACACAGGTGAAAAGCCATTTGAGTGTTCGATTTGTCAGAAAACATTTGTACAAAAAAGTCATTTAATAAATCATATCAGAATCCACTCGGGCGAGAAGCCATTTGAGTGTTCGACTTGTCAGAGAAAATTTGCACAAAGAAGTCAGTTAACGTATCACGTAAAGACCCACACAGGTGAAAAGCCATTTGAGTGTTCGGTTTGTCAGAAAACATTTATACGAAAAAATGATTTAGTGATCCACATCAGGACCCATACAGGCGAGAAGCCATTTGAATGTTCGATATGCCAAAAAAAGTTTACTCAGAAAATTCATGTAACAAGGCACATCAGGACCCACACAGGTGAGAAGGCATTTGAGTGTTCGATTTCTCGGAAAACATTTAGTGCAAAAAGTTCTTTAATAAATCATATCAGAATCCACTCGGATGAAAAGCCGTTTAAGTGTTCGACTTGTCAGAGAACATTCGCACAAAGAAGTCATTTAACGTATCACGTAAAGACCCACACAGGTGAAAAGCCATTTGAGTGTTCGATTTGTCAGAAAACATTTGTACAAAAAAGTCATTTAATAAATCATATCAGAATCCACTCGGGCGAGAAGCCATTTGAGTGTTCGACTTGTCAGAGAACATTCGCACAAAGAAGTCATTTAACGTATCACGTAAAGACCCACACAGGTGAAAAGCCATTTGAGTGTTCGATTTGTCAGAAAACATTTGTACAAAAAAGTCATTTAATAAATCATATCAGAATCCACTCGGGCGAGAAGCCATTTGAGTGTTCGACTTGTCAGAGAAAATTTGCACAAAGAAGTCATTTAACGTATCACGTAAAGACCCACACAGGTGAAAAGCCATTTGAGTGTTCGATTTGTCAGAAAACATTTGTACAAAAAAATGATTTAGTGATCCACATCAGGACCCATACAGGCGAGAAGCCATTTGAGTGTTTGACGTGTCATAATAAATTTACTTACAAACGCTCTCTTAGTACTCACATGAGGATCCATGAGACTGAAAAGTCCTTGAAATGCTCCAGATGTTCTCAAACTTTCAACACCAAATCTGAACTTGCAGTTCACATGAGCACTCACACGGACGTATTTGGGTGCCTTAAGTGCTCCCAAACTTTTGTTTCAAACAGGGACATGACGGGACACATGATGCGTGACCACACAAACCCCAAACCATTACGCTGCTTCCGATGTCCTGAAGCTTTTAGAAAAGTTATTGAATTGAAGGATCACATGCGGACTCACCTTGGCAAGGAGACTGACAAATTCTTCAAGCACTGCACCATATCTTGATAAATTAAACTCTGTCAGTATTTTATACCAACACTCTTTTGAAAATTTTTTTTTTTTTAAATCACTTAAGGCAGTCAGTTTACACTTTAGTTTAGTGGTTACAAATATATCAAGAAATATATTATTTATTATGAAATGGGATTAGTACCGACAGATGGTGGTAACAATAAAAACAATTTAAAACTTACGAAACAGGTGTTGTATTATTGCGTACACTGTTAAAAATAATCTTTTATTTGCACCAGTTTTTATGTAGGCTTTTAAAAAAATCTTACTGCAATTACACAATTTTTAAACAGTGTGATACCCAAATTATTTACATGATGAACAGAAAAATTGAGTAACATTATTACGTAGATGAGGAAACGATAGAACAAATAGTTTGGATAACACCCAAGTTAAACATAAGGAAACTTATGATGGTGAAGAGATTTTTATTAAAAACAACGTTTTAGTCAGCTCTGAGGTTGGGTACCTACTTCCAATTCTAAGAAGTCGTTTTGGCAAGTATGCGATTATTTTACGCCAAATTATGTAGTAGTAGCAGGTTAATTTTTTATAATGTTAAACTTTAAATTTGGAGAATATTGTTTAAATAATATAAGAAAAATTATGCAGGTTTTTGTATAATACATTATAATCTTTGTCTTATTGCAATTAATCGGTTTAATCTATGTGAGTTAAGAAAACCTTATGGAAACAAACATAGTAAGGTTATACAACGGATAACGGAAAATTGATTAAATTGGAGGTATTCTCTGACTTGTTTTATTCAGTTTATTATAAATATTAAAACTAATTTTAAGACAATTGTGGAGCATATGTTACTTTTAGCTAGTTGTTTGTGAAATTTTACGTAGCCCTGGAAGAACACAAAGAAAGTACTAACAGAGTAAATGCAAACAAAAGAAAAAATTGCAAAAGTTAATCACCAACAGTCATTTGTTAAAGTGGGATAATATAAAAATATTTGATAACAATATTAAATGACAATGAACAGTTAAAATTAAAACTTCTCTTATACGGTTTAGTATATGATAATTAAGGACTATTTACAATTTAAGTAATGTAATATTTATATTTGTGTAAGTTTATGTGTTAATATGTCTACAAATACTGTTTATGTTGCACTTTACGTAGACTGATTTGCGTGCAAGCATAAGTTATCATGTAACAGCATATTTATTCTATTACGGCTAAGAAAAAGTAATCTAAATTTTTGTATTTTATATTATCTAAGTTTAACATTATTTTGTACATTTAAATTGGTCGTTGTAAAATCGTTTTGTTCAAGAAAACCTGAAGGGTTCCGTGTATTAGTTTAAGAAATGTTGCAGTCTCAATAACGTGTACCAGTTAACTATTTGATCTAGAAGTTTAATCTAATACAATATTGGAGTGTATTAAATGTAAGACAAGTTGCAACTCTAATTATAAAAATAAAAACCTTTGCCTTTGCTAACACGAATAATCGAGATGTTGTGACTAATGTAGTTAAAAAATCAAAACAATTTGTATTTTTTTTACACACTCTTGTTATGTGTAAGTCAAGTATACTATGGTTTATTGGTGTATTATCGATACTTACATGTGTCAAAATTAAAATTTTATCAGTAGCATAGTTAAGATAGACCTATCATAATTATTTATGTACAATAAAGGTGGATTGCTATAAAGTAATAAGTGTTGTTAATATATATTATTAATTTATCAATTAAACTTGTGTATTTTTGAATTTATAGGTGTTAAGATTTCGTTGATCTTGTGAGTCAAGTATATAATTAATAAAACTTTAAACCTTTACTTAGAATGTCAATGAAGATTAGAGGAACTGAAGTATTTGTGAGATTGAGATATATTCCAAAACTTAGCAAGATAACTTATAAATTTTAAGAAAGTGAGTACATACAAAACATTTAAAATATTAAAGCCTGTTTAGAATCATTGGGTATAACAGAACAATTTACAATAAAATAAGAGTATCTTTTTCTAATTTTTTGTTTGTTATCATTAAACATAAAAAAAATATTCCACTCGAAGATAGAAGTTTAGCTGAAAAAAATCAAGACAAAAGAATTTTGCAAAAATAATTAAAATATTTTGATCTTATTTTTCTGATGTAGTGAACTTAAAGTCGACTTGAAGTCCCAAAAACCATACCAAACTTAAAATTTTGAAAATATGACACTTCCTGGATACTTTTTGTAGAGTTTTTATGTTGAAAAAATTAACAACAATAGCAATAAATAAGCTTAAAGTTTTNCACGCACTCGGTCGAGCGGCCGGTGGTGCGAAGCTACCATCCGTGGGATTATGCCTGAACGCCTCTAAGGCCGTATCCTTTCTAGTCAAAGGTGGCAACGATATATTTAGGAGTCTCGTGAGTCGAAAGGCTCAAAACAATGTGACACTTATTATTACTAGGTGATCTGGTTTTCTTCGGGAGGTCAGATTATCGCACGGGCCCAAATTGCCGTACGACGTTTATAAAAATTGCCGCCGGCCTCGGGATCTCACCGAGCGAGTCGGGGGTTAACGTCTGACGGTCGACCATGGGTTTTTTAAACCAAGTTCGATGTCGAGACTCGGAATCGTCTGTAGACGACTTAGGTACCTGGCGGGGTGTTGTACTCGGTAGAGCAGTTACCACGCTGCGATCTGTTGAGACTCAGCCCTTGGCTTGGGGATTCGTCTTGTCGGTTAGACGAGGACCCATGAGAAAAGAAAGAGAAGAGAAGAGAAGAGTAAGAAAAAAAACAAAAAGCCAACAAGAATGATGATAACGAAAAAGAACAGGAGAGACGCTGGACAACGGACAATGAAGAGGAAAGGAAGATAAAGAAGAGAAGTGTAGGAATTGGAACGACAGTAAAAAGCAATGCGCGTGTGGCGTAAAAAGGAGAGAAAGAAAAGAAAAAGAGAAAAAGAATATAACCCTTAGAAAAGGAAAAAGTAAGAATAAAATAAAATTAAGGATCAGTTTTTTCAGACCAAATGACAAAACATTCTCATTACATTGAGATAAAAATATAATAAAAATTACTGTGCTAGAATGGTAATCTGGTGTCATTCGGCCGTCTAGGGACTTTTACTTTGGCCAATCTAATTCTTACCATTCGGGACAGTAATTTCTATTGTACAAATAGTAAAAATCACTAAACACTAAAAATTATTGTTCCACTAGTAAAAAGTCTCTAGACGATCGAACAGTACCAGATTACTATTCCAGCACAGCAATATTTACCATATTTTTCTCTTAGTGTATACAAGCTACTTTGTATAATTTATGCAATCAAGCTTGTTGATAAAACCTGTACATTGAACCGAGAATCTTTTGAAAATCTAGTATGAAAATTTCTTCTATTGAAATCATCCCAGCACGTACTTGCGAATGTCAAGAGATATCAAGCTAACGCAAAATGCACCTTCTCTGTTCCCAAATATTATCCGACGCGCTTTGTAGAAACCTACTAAGTCTCCGACTGGAATCAACGACACGTGCCGCAAATCCACAGATCTTGGTGACGATGAGAAATCCATCCTTTTAGGTTGCTTTACGCCATTTTATGCGGAGGTGCGTTTTAATTGAACCCCTCGTCTTCACGCTTTGCCTTGTACGCGCCAAAGTATAATTACTCGGCTTTTTACTCAATCAGTGGGTGCTGTATAGAATTCTCCGATGTTTACTAATCCTATTAAAATATTCAGGAATTAATATTGATGTAATTATGGGATCTATTTTGATTAAATAGAAACGTAAGTAGTATTTAAAATGATTTTTTTTTTTTTAATGGGAGAATGTTTTTGTGTACGGTATGATATTTTTTGTGAGCTAACAAGACGAGCCTGGGGCTCGCTCATATACACTATGCTATGAGTGATACCGATATTGGAAATTCGATTACTTATTCTTATGACATGGTTCGTAACTTATTTTCAATATAAATATTCATTTGTTGTTTGTAAATTGATTTATTTTGATTATAAACAAAATTAATAAATGAATTGTTCATTGAATATAAACTAACTTTTTTGGTTAAAAAATTTTTTTTCAACTTATATTACAATAATACTGATAATTAATTTTATTAATGGTCATATGTCCTTTTACACAAACCGATTTCTTAAATAATAAATATTATAAAAAACTGTCAAGTAATGTAAAAGAATCATTTGTGTTTATAGGTTATAAAAAATGTATGTCATCAGAGTAAAACCAAAGCTATTTTTACGCAGAAAATCAGAATATCACATCAAGTATAGTATTTATTGGGTTAATGATCGAGTACTTGCTTGTTTTACAATCTACATTTCTAGACAACCATTACGCAGGACTTGAATGTTAGGTATTAATCTATTATAATAGTGATAGAAATTATAAAAAATAATAGACTAACATCCAGCACAAGCACGCACAAGCAAATATCCCAAATAATCACTTACAGCTTGCAGTATCACGCGGCCAGAAAACAATCGATTTATGCTGAGATACGTGAAGCAAACATTTCCAAATGGACGTGGGCAATCCCTGTTTAAACAAAGTCCGGATTGGAGCTTCTTGCAGCGAAAACCTCGTCGCATTTGCTGGCCACATAATAAATCCCTCTATACGTCTGCATGCAAATAATTATTCAAATTTTTATGGAAATTTTTCCGTGGCTTTCAGATAGAAGCTTTTCTAGCGTTTACGTAATCGAAGTGAGCATCTTGGCTGCTTTTTGTCGATACCTCAATGTTTCATGCACCCAGATATTTTTTTTCCCAGGTTTTATATGGGTTGATTTTTATTTTAATTCGCACTATTGATAATACGTATAGAGCTGCTTTATAATTTTGTATGTGTATATTTTTTTCTTGTAAACATACTATATATTAAAAATAGAAAAGTATTATTGATCCACGCACGAATAGCTATATGCTATCGTAAGTAACATGAGTGTCATGATAAAGCTTTTTTCATCACAAATTTAAATTTAAATTGTTAGGCTGGATGAATACATAAAAATTCCGAAAATTTCGATTTTACTTTTAATTTTAAAAAAACAAACTCGTTTGGTAAAAGTTAAGGGTTTGTCCAAGGTATTTTGTTATTCATTAAAACTTTTTAGAACACCAAAAAAATATTACATTATTGTTTCTTTTGAAATTTTTAGTAATAGATACCAGTTTTTTCAGACCAAATGACAAAACATTCTCATTACATTGAGATAAAAATATAATAAAAATTACTGTGCTAGAATGGTAATCTGGTGTCATTCGGCCGTCTAGGGACTTTTACTTTGGCCAATCTAATTCTTACCATTCGGGACAGTAATTTCTATTGTACAAATAGTAAAAATCACTAAACACTAAAAATTATTGTTCCACTAGTAAAAAGTCTCTAGACGATCGAACAGTACCAGATTACTATTCCAGCACAGCAATATTTACCATATTTTTCTCTTAGTGTATACAAGCTACTTTGTATAATTTATGCAATCAAGCTTGTTGATAAAACCTGTACATTGAACCGAGAATCTTTTGAAAATCTAGTATGAAAATTTCTTCTATTGAAATCATCCCAGCACGTACTTGCGAATGTCAAGAGATATCAAGCTAACGCAAAATGCACCTTCTCTGTTCCCAAATATTATCCGACGCGCTTTGTAGAAACCTACTAAGTCTCCGACTGGAATCAACGACACGTGCCGCAAATCCACAGATCTTGGTGACGATGAGAAATCCATCCTTTTAGGTTGCTTTACGCCATTTTATGCGGAGGTGCGTTTTAATTGAACCCCTCGTCTTCACGCTTTGCCTTGTACGCGCCAAAGTATAATTACTCGGCTTTTTACTCAATCAGTGGGTGCTGTATAGAATTCTCCGATGTTTACTAATCCTATTAAAATATTCAGGAATTAATATTGATGTAATTATGGGATCTATTTTGATTAAATAGAAACGTAAGTAGTATTTAAAATGATTTTTTTTTTTTTAATGGGAGAATGTTTTTGTGTACGGTATGATATTTTTTGTGAGCTAACAAGACGAGCCTGGGGCTCGCTCATATACACTATGCTATGAGTGATACCGATATTGGAAATTCGATTACTTATTCTTATGACATGGTTCGTAACTTATTTTCAATATAAATATTCATTTGTTGTTTGTAAATTGATTTATTTTGATTATAAACAAAATTAATAAATGAATTGTTCATTGAATATAAACTAACTTTTTTGGTTAAAAAATTTTTTTTCAACTTAGAAATTAGTCAATTATAGCAGATCAGCTTTCCTATGTACTAATAAATATTCATCATGAAGTTGTTACTTCAACAATAAATAAATAATCGTTCATAAAATTTTTTCTATTTTGTTCAAAATTTTCAAAATTTTTCAAACATTTTTTTTGTATTTCATGAATTGATTGGAAGATTTTTATTGCGCTTTGTTTTTTCACTATTTTTCTATTCGTGCAGATTGAGATAATTTTTTGACTTAAGGACACTCTTCTTTCTAAATTCATTTAAAAACCAACTTGTGGCTCTATTTGAAAATTTGATAGGTTTATCCAAAAGTAATTAATTTTTTGTCGGTATTTTTTATACTATTTCAAATATACGTTTTACGTTTAAATAATATTAATTTGCCGTAAAAACCAATCTGTGATGAACGTCCTGAAGGGACATTCACCAGTATATACTATGCTATTGAAGAAAGCGGTACTACAGGGTGGTTTTTCTTAATTTTTTAGGTTCAATTATAATTTGGGTATTCAATATGCACTGGAAATAAGTGTGTGAGCATAACGTTGGAGATGTAATCAGCGTAGGTGGTAGTAACTTGTTTTGAAATCATCGGAAGATTCGATGAAAGCTCAGAGTTTTGTACTGGCCAGCCTCGGTATATTAATTTGTTTATAATGTTTCAACTGGTCTCACATTTCAGGTGATTATTCGTTTGTTCCGCAATGCTATATTGTAGTTGCATGATAAAATTGGAAATGCCTTAAGCATTTGCTTTAAGCATAATTTTGATACAGTGCCCTGTAACGAGAAACTTGAGAACGTGTGGCCTATCTTAGCATGAGATATATATCTGACTCTATAACTGTTGGTTAAATATAGGTACTGTAGATAAACTAACGTAATGCCAAGCAAAGCTGAAGTTCACAAGTTCATTGTTTGAGGCGCTGTCTGTCACGAGGCGAATAATTTCTGCTTTCTTTCTCCCACTGTGCCTCGGTAGGTAGGTACAGGTAGGAAGGAAAAGTAAGGAGGCAATTAAACGACGTAGCGTTAATGATGGTCTTAATCTACCAGAAGACTGTTTCGGATTTGTGAGTGTAGTAACTACGAATACTGCGGTTATTGACTTCATCACTGATGTAAAGTAAGATGAACAATTTTTTTGTTACTAGCTATAGACTCAACAAGATAACAAGATTTATAATATATATTTTTTATTTGGGTATTGCGTGATGCTCGCGTTCATTGATTGAGATAAAAAAATCTTGAGAAAACATAAGATATATTCTCAAATGGGTGTTGCAACAAAAATAAAACTATTATCCTTATTTTTCGAACTTCTACGCTAAAAACAGTGAGTAAGAAAATTTAAAAAAGTAAACTTGCTCCGTTATGAGTACTAAAACCTTGAATTAAATACTATTATTATATTATTAGGTTCAGATTGGAACAAACAGTTATATGCTAACACAGGCTTAATGAATCATTTTTTTTTTTTATACGCTTTTGTTATCTGTTGTAGTAAAATGTGAATTATCGATGATCATCTTACTAATTTTTCTAAAATTAACTTTTTCCACTCGTTAAACTTTTTCCAAAATTAACTTTTAATATATGTTGCACTAGATTAATAACTAAAAATTATTTTTTCTTGTAGAAAAAAAGCTTTGCACTTATCATTTAAAAATTTAACGTATCTTAAAAACGTATGAAAAGCATTTCACATGGTGAAATAAATCCAATTATATATCGATTGGAAAACATTTTTTCGTTCATAACATCATCGAAGGAAAATTATAAGAAATAACGTATATTGTTGTATGAGGTACATCGATTAAAAAGTAAAAATTTAAAAAACAATAATTCCTCCTCTTCAGTTTTTAGTTAAACTATACCTATAGTTTCGTGTTCAGGGAACTTGAAATATCAGCAAATTAGGCTTAGACGTACGGGTGTATACATATATATGCATGGCATAATTGACAGAACTCAAAAACTGTTCACAAATGTGTTCAATGTGAAAAAAAAGTAAATGTAAAAGCAAAGGAATACAGCATATTTCAAACGCTGACATAAGAATTTATAACTGATATTTGACGTCACCATGAATTTCTCATGAAAACTGAGCTGTTATCTTAAAATATCTGTTTCAACGATAAAAAAATAAGATATGGTTGTATATGACAAGTTAACGACCTCAAGAATAATTTTTTTAAGTTCATCCAGTAGAATCAGACTGTCGTTTAATTAAAACTAGTCAGTCACTTCAAACAGGGGCTGTTGTAAAACGCATTTAGTTTAATTTGTGCGTCCTAAATTATGCTATTCAACGAAGTAAATCTCTAAGTTTTATAGGCTTAAGGTATTAGCTAATAAATATCGTGTATTTACGAGAGTTTTTTTTGTTTATTTTACCAAATTTAAGTTAATAAACTAAAATGTTCGTAGAATTGATCAGTTTTACCTCAATGTGGAATGTTCTATACTACTTGGATGATTAGATACCTTGTTCATAATTTTTCTGCAGTGATTACTTAAAAACTTTGTTACGTTACGTTCAACTACGTTAGCTTATGTGAGTAAAACATATTATAAATATGCATTTTTATATTCTACTTCAAAATAATTTAAATTGTTTGATTTGTAATAATTTGCTTTTCCACAATTTGATGAGAAGGCAAGCACAGAATTTTGAAAAGAAACCTTATGGAAATTATTAAAAAATATGTTAATATCATCTTAAAGTACATTTTAAAAAAAAATTTTTAAATTATGACTTACAGGCATTTTATCCGAGGAATCTTATAGGAAATTCTCATGCCTTTCCTACTATAACATACGAGTTTGAAAGGACGGTCTATGCATATTTCATAAATATCGCCAGTTGGATAAAAAAACCGCTTATTTCAATTTGGATGAAAGAAAAAAAAAGTTTTCTCTAAATTAGTGGCTTTTTCTTTAAAATAAATCCTAATTAGCTGTTGAATTTACACAAACGACGATTTCTCATATTATAAATTCATTTAATTAGTGAACTTGTTATCTGCAGTTTTGCATTGCATAGGATTAAATAAAAAAGTTTTTTAATAATGCATCTATATTTGCCTGGTAATTATTGTAATAGTTACAATTAAACAGAGAAGTCGTTCTATGTTGATATTGCATGTATTTGATCTTTTAGTTATAATATTAATAAAAAAGATATCTATCTGCGTTTGACAAGTGCTTGAGTTGACCATGACAGAGGTTTATTACATATTTGGAAGTTTAAACACAATTTTCTAACTTACGAGTATTACTGTCAATGAGTATTCTTGTGGTCGCTGTGACGAATGAAGTAGATAACATAGAGACTCCTTAAATTATTGGTAAAAAGGTGGAAGCAAGAAAAAGACGAGCATTTTTTGATTTACACCAGAAGTAATTCATTCAGACTTAGAGTATATACACCTCTAAATCTCAAATTTATAGGTGAAGGCAGGTATACTGGGACAGTTTTCGGCAACCATTTTTTCGATTGATTTTTTGAGACAAAAAATAAGATTATATATACCCGTTTTTTTTAACCTAAAGCTGGAATCTTATATAATTAAAAGGAAAAAAATTTGTGCTAATCAGTTTTTATGATTATAATAAAAAACATTTTCTACATTGCGTCAGGGAGCAGTAGTGGGACACATTAATTTTAGCATGGACCTATACTGGGACATAAAGGAACCAATAGTGGGACAAATCACAATTCAGATGAATAATGATAATATAAAACGATTAAACTATCCAAAAAAGTAGTTGGTTCATACATATTTATTTGAATGAACTCAAAGTATACGAAATTGCAAAGGAATATTTATAAAAAATTAACTTTTTCCTTCTTTAATTTTTCTTTGTTTAACTAAGGCCTGCATCTCCATGTCTAATAGCTCTTTTTCACAATTTTCTAGTTTTTCGTTTAATTATTTTTTTTGTCTACTAGATTGTTTCTATTGTCTTTACTATCCTTTGAGTTTATGGATTTGCTTAATTTTTGTAAAACAATGCCAACAAGCAAATTTCCTAATCTAATGGATTAAATGGAATCATTACGTAACTATGCTAAAGTTTACACCAATATACCGTTGTTGTGGTTAACACGATTTCAATTGCGTCATCGGCTGCACCCTGGACTGTTAGATAATACTTAATAATTTTTGTTCTCACAAAGTGTTAATCTATGAAGTAAATTTTTTATGATTTCAGCAAATAAGAACAGAAAAAAATGTTTAAGGTCACTGTGGCATTAGTCACACTTTGCAGCTTGTATGCTCAAGTTTGTACGCAAGGTACCAAAAAACCAAAAAATACATGGTCGTCAAGAATCAGCATCTCTTCGATTATTAAGCCAATAAATTACAAGATTTCGATAACACCTTATTTCGATGATGAATATTCTGAAAAATACTTAATATTTGAGGGTACAGCAGAAATTGAATTCAAAGTTAGAAAGCGTACGAGAAAAATATCATTACGTTCTCAAAAATTATCATTCATAAGAGGAAACTGTACCTTGAAAACTGCAAATGGAAAGATTGTTGATGACTTTAGCGTTTCATTTGAAGAGAAGAAGAACTCAGTTCACTTTTCAAGATCTCAAGATAAATTTTTTGCAGAAAAGTTCTTGTTAAACATAAATTATACTGGTACTATTTCAAACGAAACTAACACTGGCATATTTCGGACATTCTACTACTCTGAAGAGTATGATGAAGTGTAAGTTTAATTTTTGATTGTTACGTATTAAAAATATGTTAAAGTCACAAAGTAATTTTTTAAATAAATTGTTGTATTTTAGTCCATACATCCTTACATATATGGATCAATCATATGCGAGTCTAGTGTTGCCTTATTTTTATCAAACAAAGTACAAGGCCACCTTTGATATAATAATTAATCATAGTAAAAATTACAGGGCTCTTTCGAGTATGCCCATTAAAAACGTTACTTATGATGGTTTAACGGCTAAAACAACATTTATGAGGACTCCACCAATGCCAGTATACCAGTTAGCTTTTGTTGTTTCTAATTTCCAAAATATAAGTATTCAAGCTAAAAATTTCACAGTATGGTCGACTAAAAACTTCTCAACAAAGCTGATGTAGTTTTAAATTTAAGTTCCAAGATTTATCAAGAGCTAGAAAAATACACAAACGTTTCGTTAGAAATCGGAAAGTTGGATCAAGTTATCTTGCCGTTGTCTGAAGAAACTACAATGCATTATCCGGGTTTGATAGTTCACGGGTAACGTACATTAAAATAATATTAAATACTGTAATTTTCCTGCAATTTAATCGTTAAAATTTTTCAATTCAAAGATCAAATGATGTATTAGAACCCATTACGTCATTAGAATATTTCTCATGTGCAAAAAATGTAGCTCATGGATTAGTAGAGCATTGGTTGGGGAATGTTGCCATTTTGAAGTCTAAAAAGTACATTTGGCTGGTTGAAAGCATCGCCTCATATATGGCTTATTACTTACTAGAAAAGGTACAAACCTCTTATTTTCTGTCAATTTTTAAAAACTTTTTTTCATGTTTCTCGACAAAAATTTTAAAAGTATATTGTGTGTAGGTTAAAATAAATTTTAAAAGTATATGTCTTTAGGTTGAGCCTCGACTTAAAGCTATGAACCAATTCATCGCAGATGAACTACCAATATCGAGCATTCGTGATTGGAATAAATATAAAATAGTACAAAAAAAGACTCCAGAGTTGAGTGATACATCTTATAAAGACACATTACAAATTAAAGGTGTGTTGAAAGTATTATTTTTTATAATAGAAAACTGCAATACAAATTTTCTGAAGTGAACATTTAAACAAAAAGGTATATTCATATTTTTAGGGGCATTCATCGTGCGGATGCTGCAACATATACTAACAGAATCAGTATTTCAAAAGGGATTACAGAATTATTTGAAAAAAGGGTTAGTAGCCTATTCACAATAATTACTTGGCAAGGATAATGTTAAAAAATCTTTTTTTTTTCTGAATAGGTATTATGCGAATGCTAATTTAGATAACTTCTACCAAGCTTTTCAAGAAATTTTGAATGAAAACAAAAGTGATTTGAAAATAAAACCAGTTCTGGATTCTTGGCTTTATTTCAAAGGCTACCCACTTGTTACTATAAGGAGAAACTATTCGACCAACGAGATAACGTTACGACGAGAGATTTTTTTTGTTAACATTACAAACGACAAAAAAAAAGTAAATAACAGAATTGGAATATTCCCATCAACTACGCTAGTAAAGGAAACCTGAATTTTAATAACACAGTCAAATTTTGGTTAACTGACAGTTCAATGACCGTTAATACTAACGTTAAACCTCAAGATTGGATAATTATCAATAAACAGTTCACAAGTCAGTTAATACTTCAATTATCGTTCATAAATTAGCCTTCAGTTTCTAGTTCAAATTTTTTAAATCTTTAATCATATCGTTAGGTTTTTGTATAGTTAATTATGATAAGCACAATTGGAAACTTATCATCGACTACCTATCGTCACCCAACTGGGAGAATGTGCATTTATTAAATCGCGTTCAATTGTTAAAAGATGCCTTTATATTGGCACAAACGGAACGATTACCCATAAGAATCCTATTGCAATTATACAACTATTTGAAGAAGGAAACAAATTGTCTGGCATGGTACCCAGGTCTACTTGTGCTGGACTGGTTGGACGTTCAACTGGCTAACACAGAACTCCACTCATTACTTCAGGTAATTTTTAAACAGTGTAAAGTAAGGATTTTACAGTACCCAATCTTTTCAACTAGAGTAACTTTTAAGCACTAGTAGCAATAGTCTAAGAAATACATTTATCATAGTTTTTTTCTCTTTTTAGAAATATGCTTTAAATACTATGCAGCTAATGCTGGAAACGATTGGTTTGGAGGATAATGAGAAAGATGATGCGTTTTAACTGGAATGCAGAGCAGAAGTGTTATCTGTAGCTTGTAAAATGGATCACTCATCTTGCAAAGAAATATCTATAAAAAAATATGAAAAGTGGCGGAACGATACAGACGATTCGTAATCTTTTTATGTTCATTCTGAAAATTTAATATTTCATGATAGATTCAAGTTATGAAACATTTAAATAAACCATTTAAGCTTCTATGAACTGGAGAATACCCTAATATGCTATGGTCTGCAACATACTCAAGATTTGTATAAATCGTATGATTTTTTCTTTGATGAGTTGGAAATCGGTGATGTGAACTATAGATTGACGGAAGTGTTGGACATTTTGGGATGTATGAAAGATGTAGACGTATTGAAATATTATCTTCTGAAATTGAAGGTCAGTTCTTCCTATGCCGAAATGAATATTCTTCTCTTAAGTATGCTTCGTCAGAATAAAATCGATACTGTTTTTGATTTTCTTATCAAAGATTTACCTTCACCTGAGTTTGATAAGAAGTATGGAGTTTTATTTTAATTCATTTTTCAAATAGATTTTCTATTTTTCATTACATTTTTGTAAAAATTTTTAGCGTCCTTGAGTTACAAGATGTTTTTGAAGAACTTGCGAAGAAGTTACCAACAGTCCAAACCATTGTAAGTGTGACATTATTTATGTATAAACTATTTGATATTCTAATTTTTATATTTATTTAAGCTCGGAGAATCCCAGTTAATGAAGTTTTTTGGAGATGCAATTAACAGAGGTATGAAAGAGTCCAAAAAAAGGGTGAAATGGTTGAAAAAAAATACCAAGATTATAAGGAAGAACATTAAAAAGTTCCTGCGATCAAAGTGAATACATTGTTTAATAAATAATGAGACTGACTTAGTTAAAGATCTGTTGCTGGTTATTTGTTTTACAAAGACATTGATGAACTCATAATTCCTAAATAATAGCTAGTGTGGAAACTTGAACTGTTGTTATAACTATCGCTGTGATTTAAAGTTTTTCCATCAGAATGAGAATATTGTAACACTGCTTCTTGACCTGAAATAAAACGAGGCACCGACGCAGCGTTAGCAAGTCTCGATCGCGTTCGTCACCGTTGTCCCTCTTACCTCTTGGGTTTCTGCTCCTGAAAAAGGGGGATAGGCGCGGGAGTTCTCCTGTTCTACGAGAAGAACTATTAATTTACACACAACAAATACCTTTCACTATTTCTTTTATTAAACACTTAACACTAATACACAGTCTCCCTCTCTTCACAATACACGACACAATGCTTCACCTCGTCTTCTGGACGGCGCTGCAGCGACTTCGCCTCGCACCCCGCGAGCCACGAGCGCTCGTCCACCACGTCCTGCTCGTCCGGAACCAGGAGGGGCTCCTGCTCGTCCTCGACCCACACTACTACGCACACACTCACACTCCGTCCTCAATCTCTCACACTGCTATACGCTCTCTCTCTCTCTCTACTCTACTATCTCCCTAATACACGACAACACGCACGAAAAATGGCGGCCCTCCCATGCACCTCGCGGTCTCTCGTACACCTCGTCTCGTCAACCCGACTCTCGCTCACTCTCTCTCGCAGTGTCTACGCTACAATCTCTCTCTCTCGCACTGTCTATGCCACACACTACTTCTCTCTCTCTCTAGCCTCACCCCCTGGTCAAACGTCCGCGAGTACAACCTGGCGTGATGTCGTCCAGTGTCCTCGAGCGGATTGTTCGTCCTGCGGCTTCACCTTTTCTCTTCTCTCTCTTTTCTCTCTTTCAACTCTTCACAATAAGAAGGATACACAAAGTAAGAAATAAAGAATTGAGAGTAAGATATGAAATGCAAAGTATAACCAGTTTTACGAAAGTATATAAAATAAAAATAGAAAAACCGTAAAAAAAATGGTTATAAATGGAGGTATTTTAATTAATAATAATGTACGAAAGGTAATCAAAAAAAATGTTAAGTAACGGATTAACCTAGGAAAACTGTTGACTAGTATTGCACTGCTAGTATGTGTATAAGTGTAAAACCATGATAAAGCATAAGTATGAGAGTGGATTAAGAAAAATAAACTTTTTTATGAACATGGCCCTTATGTGGGTCAATGAGTTAACCAAAAAATGAATACATAGATAAATATATTAATGATCATATATACATACTTGATTTTTAACAAGGTAACTTTTGGTTCTATTGTTTCAGAACATAATGAGCCATAAGTTGCTTGGACGTAAAAAGTTTTTGATGATTTCGTAAGATACACGTTGAAATGGTCAATGAAGTATGTAGAGTACTCGTTCTCGAGAAATGGCAGAGAAAATTTACGGAACACCCTCATCAGAATTTAATTCTCGATTTGTTTTAACAGTATTGTAAACATTGGTACTGTGGTTATTACAATTATTGCTAAGCCACCAGCTTCCCCTTGTATCATTTGATAAATTTAAACAATTTCATTCATTGATAAATGTGCATATACTAAGTATTTTGTTATAAAGTGACATTGTTGTTTACTTTTTTAGCAAAGAAGAATCGTAAAAATGTTGAAGATAATTATAGTACTTACCATATTTTACTGCTTATGTGCTGAAGTTTATACAAATGGAGTGAAAAAAACCAAAAACATTAAACAATTAACTAGAATGTCTTCAGAGATTAAGCCTACAAATTACAAGATCTCTATAACGCCTCACTTTGATGATAAAAATTCTGAAAAATACTTAACATTTGAGGGTATAGCACAAATTGAATTCGAAGTTAGAAAACCTACAAAAGAAATATCAATACGTTCTCAAAAATTATTCTTCAAAAGAGAAAACTGTACCTTGAAAACTGCAAATGGAAAGATTGTTGATGACTTTAGCGTTTCATTTGAAGAGAAGAAGAACTCAGTTCACTTTTCAAGATCTCAAGATAATTTTTTTTCCGAAAAGTTCTTGTTAAACATAAATTATACTGGTACTATTTCAAACGAAACTAACACTGGCATATTTCGGACATTCTACTACTCTGAAGAGTACGATGAAGTGTAAGTTTAATTTTTGATTGTTACGTATTAAAAACGTTGTAAGTCATAAAATAACTATCTCAATAAATTATTGTATTTTAGTCCATATATCCTTACATACATGGATCAGTCGTATGCGAGTCTAGTTTTGCCTTATTTTGATCAACCAGAGTACAAGGCCACCTTTGATGTTGTGATTATTCACAGCAGAAATCATAGAGCCATTTCAAACATGCCTATTAAAAACGTCACTCATGTTGGTACAATGGCTGTAACAACTTTTTTGAGGACTCCACCAATGTTGATCCACGACCTGGCTTTTATTGTTTCCGATTTCCAGAAAATTAGTAATGAAGCGAAAAATTTCACCTTATGGTCAACTCAAGAATTTCCTTATGACGATGAGGTAGTATTTAATTTGGGTTCAAAGATTTATGAAGAACTGGAGAAGTACACCAATACACAGTTAGAAGTTGGAAAGTTGGATCAAGTCATCCTGCCATCTCCTGGGGAGATAACGATGCAACGTCAGGGTTTGATCATTTACAGGTAAAAATGTAATCAAAATTTCATCAATCACTGTAATTCCGTAGTAATCTAATACTTGAGATTTTTTGATAAAAAGATCAGATGATATTTTCGAATCAATAGACTCGGAAAAGTATTTCTTGTGTGCAAAAAATGTAGCTCATAGATTAACAGAACAATGGTTTGAAAATGTTGCTTCTTTAAAGTCCAAAAAACAAATTTGGTTCAGTGAAAGTATTACTGCCTATTTGGCTTACTATGTACTTGAAAAGGTGTAGTATTTTATCTTGTAGAAAAGTTTTCTTAGATTTTATAATACACATTGTTGTAATATCCTTAAAAAAATATTTTTATAAATAATACACAATAAACTTTAGGTTGAGCCTCAACTTGAAGCTATGAATCATCTCATTATGGATGATTTACCGATATTTTACAAAGTAGGTAAGGTATTATATATATAAGGTATTATAGTATAATCCACTATAGCATATGGCTCGAAAATTGTCGTGTGATAGTTATCGTAAAGATACCACGTAAATTAAAGCTGCATTAAAAATGTTTTTTTGTAATTGCAAGCCTATATCATCCATTTCTATGACTAATTGCAATTATAGAAAAAAACCGTTTATCTGTGTTTTCAGGGGCGTTTGTCATACGAATGTTACAACAAATGCTTACGGAACCAGTGTTTTAAAAAGGATTACAAAATTACTTCCAAAAATCGTTAGTTAGTTATTTAAAAGTATTTTTTAATAAAAAAAAAAAAAAAAAAAAAATTAGAACATGTTTATATTTTTTCATAGATATCATAAAAGTGTAAATATAGATGACTTCTATCAAGCATTTCAAGAAGTTTTAAATGAAGTAAGCATAGATTTACAAATAAAATTAGTTCTCGATTCTTGGCTTGGTTTCAAAGGCTACCCGCTCGTTACCGTAAAGAGAAATTATTCGACCAATGAGATAAAGTTGAAACAAGAAATTTTTTTGGTTGATAATTTGAGTAATAAAGAAAGCAATAAGAAATACAAATGGAACATACCTATAAGCTATGCCACTAAAGATAAACTCAATTTCGAAAACACTTCAGTGGATAATTGGCTGACACGTCGTTCGATGACAATTAATAATGACATTAAACCTCTAGATTGGATAATCTTAAACAAAAAATTTTTAAGTAAGTTCATAACTCAACTATTCATGAATAATTAGAAACTTTTCGAAATTGTCAATTGTAAATTAAAAAAAATTATCAGGTCCTTATGTAGTTAATTATAATAAAAAAAATTGAAAACTCATTATCAAGTACCTATCGTCACCTCATCGGGAAAATATACATTTGCTCAATCACGTTCAATTACTAAAAGATGCTCTCGTATTAGCTCAACAAGAAAAAATCAGTTTAAATATCTTATTGAGATTGCACAGTTACTTGAAAAATGAAACAAATTGCCTGCCATGGTATCCTGGTCTACTTGTACTGGATTGGTTGGACAATCAATTAGCTGGCACACAACACTACGTAAAATTTCAGGTGAACGCAATATTTACACGTCAACTATATCTCAAACAATCCATCAAGTAGTGGTAATTACGTAGAAAATATTTTCTTCATCCCAAGTTTTTTCTTCCCTTAGAAATATGCCTTGAATACTGTGCAGCTAATGCTCGAGACAATTGGCTTCCACGATAATGAGAACGATAATGTTTTAAAAAAAAAATGTCGAGAAAAAGCTTTATCTATGGCTTGCAGAATGGGTCACTCATATTGTGAGGAGATATCGCTTGAAAAATATAAAAAACTAGCAGCCCCCCGTCTCGGCTTCGCCTGAGACTTACTAAATAAAACACCGTAGTGTGTTGACATATAATGTGAAACATTTTAACTTAGAAATTTTGCACATATTCCTGATACATCTCAAAACAAAATCTTCTTATTGAAAACATATTTTTTCGGAATCCATATAGTTTATTTAGTCAAATAATAAGCTGTAAAAATTAAAAAACATATGATTATCCTGAAAAGTACCGTGCGTTCTTTATGCCATAAAATAATCGGTGGCCATAAGAAGCCGTTGATTTACAGTTTCTCCCGTGTAATTCACGAAAACGGCTATTTTTTAAAGCTGTTAAGATTTTAAACCCCCAAAAAATTTATGTTAAAAAAAAATTTTTTTCTCATATCTCACAACTTTATTACCAGAGCAACAAAGTCCTGGACCTTGAACCCTACATTTTTATTGCCACAAAAACACAAATACATTTTCTACTTATTTAAAAATCTGAAGTAGGATCTTTAAAGATTTCAGAGATTGCTGTGAGGGTACAATGAAAAGCTGATCTCTCACGTAATGGACTCTTTAGTTGTCGATTTTGACGCTGCTGTTCCAATCTCGATAAATTTTCTGCGTCAGTTTCGTGATGCCTAAGTAAAATTGTATTTATTAGATACACTTGAAGTTTTTCTTCCAATTCACCCTCTTGCGACTTTTGGCATGCTTAAAATTTGTGTGACCCATAAAGGCTGTTTTCTGTCAACTTTGTTAAGTTCTAATATATTTGTTGGCAAAGTAGTTCGACGTCCGATGGCCCTAAAAAAGACCGGTGAGCTTCTTAAGTTAACTCTTTCTTGACTGCAGTTAACAGCAATTGTGACTGCCTGGATACCTCAGGGTGATCTTCTCTGGCTTGCTGTTGAAGACCCAGACTGATTGGGAGAAAAAATAACAAAGTTCGAAGCTTTGGGGCTAGTTGTAGAGCTCTTTCCCATCGTCTCCCGGTATAACGTCAAAGACGTTGGTGTCTAAAGCACCTTTTTATTTGCAGATTCAGTTGTTTTAGTGATGTTAGATGGGGAGATTGGTTAGTGATACTTGTCCAGTGGAGGCTGTCCCGTTGGCTCAAGTTTTTTTTCCTTCATAGCTGTTATAGGATTGCCCAGCGCAGACCTTGTAGAGGATCAGTGATTCCTGGTTGAATGCTTAGAGTCGAGAGGGTAGTATAGGGTGGTCGGTCACCAGGTTTTCCAGCCTTGCGAAGAACAACTCCGCAGGTGACGTCTGCTAGTGAATGGCTGACTTGGTTTAATAGTGCCCGTCTTTAGTTAATATAGTCTTTTAGTCGACGAATCGCTTCCGGAAATGGTAATAAAAATGTATTTGTTGGCAAGGTAGTTTACACTTAGGTGGATCCTAAAAAGAACCGATGAAATTGATGGTTAAGTAGGGAACGCAAATACTTAGAATGGCCCTAAAAAGCGCCAGTGGTGAAACTTCCAGCTATTCCTTATTATTATTTTTAATGATGAAGAGCTGGCTACGGGTTGCTTGATTCTTACCCTGGGAGTCTCGATGTATGGAGACTGTGATGGAGGGAGGTACGCCGCTGACCAAAGAATATCTCGTTTTGGGTCGTTCCCCGGATAACCAACCGCTCATCGTTAGACGGGAACATGTGGGTAAGCGCGTTGGGGACGCGACGACCAAGAAGGTAGCCGTTGTGGCTGCCCGTGCCCCTCAGAGCTGTTTTCCCTTGCTTACATTTGTAGCCACAAATTTTCTAACTGCACCAGGTGGGATGGTGGGACTGCCACACAACTCTGAAGAGTTGGTGCAGATTGTGCTCTGGCTAGGTATGTCTCCTGGGATTGTGGCAGAGACGGCATTGGTTGGAATTAATTTTATTTTATTTGATCGCATTCGTCGAGAATTAGGGTGAATGGACACCTAGGTCCCTTCCCCCTTAGAGAAGAGTGTAGTCCGTAACCGGGATACCCAGTTGCAAGACTATCACCAGCATTCTCCGTACAGCTCATTGAAATGCCGAAGCTCGACTATACCAGTATCGATACGCTCCAGCCTATTATAACCATACTTATTTAATTATGTTGCAGGTAGCTTCGATTTTATGTCGACGCCACCTAGCGGATTTTGCTGAACTAAAGTGAAAAGCTGACTTTTTTTTGCAAAACTTTGAGCTCATTTATTGCTATTGTTATTAAATTTTCTAAGATGAAAACTATACTAAAACCATCTAGGAAGTATCATGAATCAGTGTGCAAAATTTCAACAAAAACGGTCCAGTAGTTTTCGCGATTAGCGATTACAACGGTTTTAGCGCTTCTGCTTTATATATTAGTAAGATGGCTGCTGGATCCAGAGGACGATGTGTAATTTTTTTTTTACCGTAACTATTCATTTTATTTCGATGATTTTAACTTATAGAAAACAAAAAAATTACTTTAAGACTTATGAACTAGGTAATGCCTTAATATGCTATGGTCTACAACGGACTCAAGATTTGGATGGATTGTACAAATTTTTTATTGATGAATTAGAACATAATTATGACAGTTATAGATTCACCGATGTGTTGATAATTTTGGGATGTGTGAACAACGAATAAGTATTGAAAAATCACCTCGTGACATTAATGAATCGGTCTTCTTTTTCGGAAATGAGTTTTCTTCTTTTAAGTATACTCAAACAAAATAAAGTGGATTTTGTTTTCAAGTTCATTATCCACCATTTATCCTCATCTGAAATCAATAAGAAGAAGTATGTAGCCTAATCTGTAGAAACATTTTTTAAACTGACGATATATTTTTTAATAATGTTTTTCTAAAATCTCGTAGTATACTCGAGTTAGAAGACGTTTTCGAAGAAGTTGCGAAGAAAATTTCATCATTGGATTTAGATAAAGTAAGTCATACATCGTAAGCGTATTATTCATTTATTATTTTCATCTTTTTCGTCTGTTACAGCTTGGAACGACAAAATTTATAAAGATTTTTAAAGACGCAATCAACAGAGGTATTAGGGAGTCCAAAAAAAAGGTTCATTGGTTGAAAAAAAATGAAAAGATAATGAAAAGAGATTTTCAAAAGTTGCTGCAATAAAAATGAATGTATTGTAAATTGATTCAGGCAGTTCGCGCACTTGACTATTGTTACTTTTCAGACGTTTTTTGTGTAAGCACGCCGACTGATTTTTTACACTTGTAGCCATAGTCAACTATTATACTGTTATCATTGCCATAATTACAGTTGGAAAGGTTTTTTCTTCATTACAAAAATTTCATTCAAATTGTGTGAATGAATTATTATAATTATTTTAGAAACACTAAATTACCTTTTAATACCCTAAGCTGTGCTCACTTAAAAAAAATATGTATCCGCAATTAAAAAAAATTTTAATTCATAACTTACAACGAGTATTTTTACAACATAAAAAATTTGATCGTTTTGTTCCATAATTTATTTTCTTTGGGATATTTGCTATTGATAATTTAAAAAAAAAATTAAGTATTTTTTGTATTGTTATAATATACAATATGAACTAAAATATTATATTTAGTCTTAGCGTTTCCAATAGCAGATAATCGTTTTTAAACACCCCTTTTAGCAAAACACGAGTTAAAATATTTTACGCAAACTTGCATTATTTTCCTACAAATGCTACAAACTATTCGATATTTTACACCACGATCTCGTTGCGATGACTCTAAATTAAGGAAGAATTAGGTAATATTTTTAAGGTAGCTAATCTCTTCGTTAGTGCATCCTTACATCGCAGTCACGTTATTAGAAACAAGTGAAAAAGCCTATTTTTATTCTGGTGTAATAAAACTATTCACTACTCAAAATATTCTTATTTTCTGAGTAAACTTCAAATAAATGAAAAAACTCTTTATGGGTGGTAATTATTGTGCGTATAAACTCGAGAGCAGAGATAAATCGATACAGAACGACGTTTACAGTGCTATGTCACAAAAAAACCATCAAAACCAGCTAATTGCCAATTGTAGATAAGAGCATACACCAAAGGTTTTTTTAAATGTCTTTCTATATTTATTGCAAAAGAGAGAAAAAACAGTTCTGGCGTTTGATGTACTGTGTAATGATTACGTTTTGTAAAAAATAAAAAATAAAACTGACGCAGGAAAGGGAGCAACCTCGTGCAAGTGATTGATAGAGTTCACGCTTTCTAAAAAAAGATAACAGTTTGTGTTACCAATACTAAGTTGGTTAATTGAACTGCTGTTAAATGTGCCTGCTGTCAATCTTGAGAGGGAAGAAATGTATGTATGCGTGCGTCAGTATTGTATTGAAAACCTTTTGGGGGTGTCAGTATCCAATTTGTTTCTTTTTTTTTTATTTTACGAATTTTTAACTATCAAGGTAAGTTTTTTCGTAGTGTAAGAGTATGTTGTAAACAGTTAGAAGATTATTTAAAACCTTACCATCTCCTGGTCTCTGAATTTGAATCAAATGTGTGTTGTCATAAACTTGATACGTTTGAAGTGTTTTATTTCAATGTACAGAACGTTTTAATAAATAACAAATAAGAACGGACCTGATTATTTTTTCTATACAAACAAATACGAATTTTGGATCAATACAAAATTTCTCTTGGATTATTACATTTTTCTCCCACAATGTTATCCTAGCTGTTGGTATGACAAAAATTTACGGGTTTTCAAGATGTATTACAGTATAAATGCAGTTTACCACTTGACCTTCATGTGTATCTACCT